TCACCTCATACCTGATAGAATGGCTATTATCAAAAAGACAAGAAATAACAAGTGTTGGTGAGGATGTGAAGAAAAGGGACTACTCATGCACTGTTGGTGGGAATGTAAATTGGTGCTGCCACTATGGAAAACAGTATGGAGGTTCCTCAAAAATTTCAGAATAGAATTACCATATGATCTGGCAATTCCAGTTCTAAGTATTTATCTGAAGAAAACAAAAACACTAATTCAAAAAGATATATGCAACCCCCATGTTCATTGCAGCATTATATATAACAGCCAAGAAATGGAAACAACCTAAGTGTCCATCAATGGATGAATGGATAAAGAAGATGTACATTACCTCCCAAGGACTTATTTTATAAATGGAAGTTTGAACCTTTCAACTCTCTTTACCAATTTCACCCACTTCGTCAGAGGTAGGGGTGTGAAGCAGGTGACTATAGTTAATAATATTGTATTGTATTTTTGAAAGTGGCTAAGAGAATAGACCTTAAAAGTTCTCATCACAAGAAAATGTGTAACTATGTATGGTGATGGATGTTAACTAGACTCATTGTGGTGATCATTTCACAATATATACATATATCAAATCATTATGTTGTACAACTAATATAATGAAACTACTATAATGTTATGTCAGTCATATATCAATTTAAAAAAAAGAAACAGAGGGAAAGGAAAGAAATGTGGTCTCTAGTAAGTTTGCCTCTAAGATTCCTTCAAGTGCTATTATCTATTCTTTCCTTTAAATTTAATGTGAATCTTTTCAGAATTTAGACCCTGTGATTGCACTGTTGTCACCTAGATGACTTAATCCTATGTGGATCTGCTCACTGCAGGAAGCATGAGATTTCTAGATTCATATTTTAAGCTTACTTTAATTGTCTTGAATATATATGATACAATTATATATATAATATAAATATATATAAAATTTAGACCAATGTTTGTCATTCTCTGAAGTATAAAGAGTACAATGACAAAATAGTCTCCTTCCTTAATCTGCATGTAATTTAAGAAGGAGACTTAAAAAATAATTATAATAAAATGGAGGTTATGATGTAAATAAACACACAGTGTAATAGAAGCATTTAGGGTTGTTGTCAAGCCCAAATTTGGGGATAAGGAAAACTTCTGGAGAAGATAACACCTAAGTTGAGTTTCAAAGAAGAGAAGAGAGCCAGTTAAGGGAAAAATCAGACAGGCATTGTAGGCAAGAGAACAGATACAGAAAAGAATCAATTATTGAGAGAGAGCAGAGCTTTACAGCAATGCTGATTGAACATTTTTTCAAATTACAGTCCACTTGTGTAGAATATAAGACCTACAGCCCTCTGAAGACAATTTCCACTCCCTAGTAAAAGAAGTATTTTAAAAAAGTAAAGGGACTTAAGATAACTGAATTTCAGTATACTTTTGATGTTAACATGCATGAATTATTCTCATAACAAGATAAAAGTATCAACACATATGTAGTTATATAGTTAAATAATCAACACATTTTATATTAACCCTATAAATCATTACACTTACTTTAGCAATATAATGCCCTTTACATTTTCTTTATTTTGCTTTTTTGTTATAGATTATATATGTACATGATAAAAAAGAAAAAGAATATTCAATGAAAACTGTATCTCTCCCTGTCTCCCAAAATCTCTACAAATATTGATAGTTTCTTTGTGTCCTTCCAAAGCTATTATATATATTCACAAACACATATATTTCCACACACGTACACAACTGGTGAACTTTTCTTTCCCAGATTTAAGTATATATCTTGGAGAGCTTTCCAGACTAGTTCAATGTTTTTTCTTTTTAATATTTTTAACATTTTATTTTGAACTAATTTTAGACTTATAGAAAAGTAGCAAAAATATTATTAATTTCCTTATATCACTCACTATGCTTTTCAAAATGTTAACATCTTACATAAAGAGAGTAAATTATCAAAAACAGGAAATAAGGGACTTCACTGGTGGTGCAGTGATTAAGGCTCCGCGCTCCCAATGCAGGGGGCCTGAGTTCGATCCCTGGTCAGGTAACTAGATCCCACATGCATGCCGCAACTAAAAAAAGTTCATATGCCACAACTAAGGAGCACGCCTGCTGCAACTAAGACCTGGTGCAACCAAATAAATAAATAAATAAATAACAGGAAACACTGTTACAATATTGTCACTTAAGCCAAAGACCTTATTCTAATTTCAACAAATTTTTCACTTATGACCTTTCTTTCTTTCATGATCCTATCCAGGATCCCACATTATATTTAGTCATTATTTTCCCTTGGTCTACCAGTCTGTAAGAGTTCCTCAGTCTTCCCTTGTCTTTCATGACCTTGATACTTGAGCAGTGCTAATCAGTTATATTTGCAGAATTTCCCTCAGTATGGTTTTGTCTAATGTTTTCTCATAACTAGAATGAGATTATGTGTTTCTACATGAATGCCACAGAAATGGTGGAATCATTAAGAAGTTGTTTATTCCAGGACCAGGACAGGAAAAACACAAGGTTAACCCCGGAATATGAGGTGATGTAGGAATGTAAGAAAATGCTCTAAAAGGTGAAGGTTTTCTGGAAGGACACAAGAGCCAACATGACTAATGATCTAATGTCCAAATGGCCCTAATGACCAAAGTGGGATCATTGAGCAACAAAATGAAAAAACAATGGCACTGGATTTTAACCTATAGAATAAATTAAATATTCATAAGTATGTAGTGATATAAATCAATAATAGAGTAAATAAATAAATGGGGAAATGAATAGCTCTTAAAATAAAGTTCCACTTAGTGAATTTGGAGAAACAGAGAATCGACATTAGGCAAACACCACAGTAACAATTATTGCAGATAAGATCCACCAACGAATCCCAAAATTAGTGGGCAAAAGTATGAGAAAGGGGAATTGCCTAGTCTCAAACCATCTCCCCTATTAACTATAAAAGAAAAAATATTAACTTTCCTGTGGAGAAATCTGATACACACCAACTTAACCATATGAGCACAGTAACCATTATTTGTCATACAATATATGAGCTATTTGATGTGATGCATGGAGAAGGATACAAGATCATAATTTAGTTTTCAACAGATAACTTTTTATATAGATAACATATTTATGAGACTTCAAATTTTTTAATATTAAAAATTTAAATGTAAAACAATACAGTGCAAGTCTTTACACTTACATTAAGAGTCTATTTTATACATGATTTTCAACATGTGTATGTCTAGATTTCCAGAAATGAATATTTAAGTAATTTGTTATGTTAACATCTATAAACAAACTGCCCTCCATGCAGCTGATGCCAATTTATATTCAACACAATATTTGTACTACAGTCTCAACAACAGAGTGTGCTGAGCATTTAAATGTTTACAAATGTTATGGGTGATACATAGTGTTTTAGTCTGGTTTTTACTTATGTTTCTCTTTATGTATTTTCTTGGGCTACTTTTACTTCATAACCTAAGAATTATATTTTCATATCCATTATCCTTTTTAATGGAGTAATTGGTTTTTCTTCTTTTTATTAACTTATGGGAGCTCTTTATATATTAGGGAAATAATTCCCTCATCTGTAATATGACTTGCAAATATTTTACCACATAAAAAGTTATTTAAATAGCACACATTCTGAGGAGTAAGTTCTATTAGTGGGTCATCATTGTTGTTAGTAGTGATTTTCCAACTACTTTTATTCTCACAATTAGAACCAGTATGTTACTTTGTATCTTAAAAGTGATAGAATATCAAATGTTTTAAAGATTAGCTGCTTCCATTTTTTTCTAAGTTATTTCTTCTAATAAATTTAAACTTTAGGCATGATACATAGAAGATTTGCTCTATATTTATTAGTCAAAAAAGAGCTATATAAATCAGGGCTTCGTTAAAAAACACTTCATAGGATTTTAGATCTAGCATATTATTTTTAAGAGCTAGCATTTTTTTAATTGAATATGAAATTAGAGATTTTGCCAAAAAATACAGTTATCGTCTTTCCCACAACCATAAAACCTCTGGGTTTATTTGACTCAATGTCAGGTTGTCCTATGATGCCCAACGTATCAATCAAAACTGATAAGCAGCAGAAATTTGAATTCTAATTTATTATAGTAATTCTGGTACAATGTCACATAAACATGATCCCCATAACCATATCCCTAGCAAGTAAGGAATTAATTGGTCTCTGAACCCAACATACCTACAATGAGGATTCTTATACCAAACACTGATGGTCATTGTCCCCTCCTTCAGTTTTCCCTTTATTACTAAATGGGATATATATACATAGAGAGAGAAAAGAGAAAGGGCAGGGAAGGGAAGAGAGTAGAGACAGAGGGGGAGAAAATTTTATATGATCATCTAAAGCACTGGTTTCCAAGCTTTTTTTAATTACATACTCAGATCGGCAAAGTTTTCAGCTTGCATCTCCAATATATGTTTTATAAAATTATAAATTAGACATATTCTATCTAGTTATCAAATGTCAATAACATAGATCTGTGTTCTTCAGGTTTTGATAATGAGAAGTTCTGATATTTTTCTCATTTCTAATGAATCCTCTTCCACATATTCTAGAGGATAAACATCATACTTTGGAGGGAGTTGTAGTAGAGAACCTGGAAGACAGGTTCTTCTGTAAAACCTGGTCCTATAACAGCAGAAACATAACAATGAATTTGGAATTCATGACCAGAACAAGAAAATAGCACCTAATCAAAAGTAAAAGATTGATTTTTTTTTCTTAAGATTGACAGAATTATAAAGGTTTAAAGATGTTAAGGGTGTTTAGGAAGCGTTCATGGATAAGGTGAGGTTCAAACTGAGCTCTGAATGAGAATAGATAGAATAAAAGCAAGAGATAAATTAAGCAGATTTTATTGAATTAAGTTTCTGAATATATTATTGTGCCATGCACACTAGAGTAACATGGGTTAAGGAGAGAAATGGGAACGAGGTGGCACATCCATGCGGCCAGCCTTCTGACATGAAAGGATAAATGACCCAACTTCCCTTTATTTCTAGAACACGTGCAGATGGTGCTAAGTACTTTCACACAAATAAAGTCCTAAAGAGCAGGCTGCTTAGTCTTTAGTATGTGTTTATGATATGTGCTTACAATATGATTTAAAAATCACCTGGACATGTTGGTATAATACAGATTCTGATAGAGTAGATCGAGGTGGGGTGTGAGATTCAGTATTTCTAATAAGATCATAGGTGATAACAATCCTGCTGGTTCATGGACCACATTTGAGTACCAAGTGCATAGAGGTCAAATTCCCCACAGGCCTTATTTTGTGACTTTTAATTTTGATATGATTTCAAAATTACAGAAGAATTTCAAGGGTACATACTATCAACATCACTTATCACTGTTGATGATAACTTTGACCACTCAGCTGAGGTAGTGTTTATCAGGTTTCTCCACTGTGAGGTTATTCATTTTTTCCTTTTTCCATACTTAATTCTTTGGAAGGAAGTCTCTATGTTCAGCTCATACTTAAGGAATGAGGAAGAATGCTCTATTTCCTAGAGGATGAAATACATACTTAATTATTTGAAATTTATTTATTTATTTATTCCATCATTTACTTATGGGCTTATAGCTACTCATTTTATATTCTGAGTTATAACCAACACTACTATATTTTCTGTTCAAATTGTTCCAGGTTTGGCCATTGGGAGCTCTTTCAGTTGGCTCCTATTTTGCTTTAATTTAGCTTCATCACTGTGTCTACTTTTGAACATTTCCTTGTTTTCTAGCACTACAAGATTCTCCGGACTCATCTTCTAAATTTCCTGCCCTGGTTCTAGAACCTGCTAGTTCTCAAAGGACTCTTGGTTTCTTCTTTTAGAAAATAGTATTAGAAACCAGTATCTTGGTGCTAGATGTGCTTATGGCTATGAGGGTGTCATTGCTTCTAGGCCCTCTCAGCTGACAAAGCAACAAATATTTGTGTGTGTGGTAACCTGTGTCTATATACATATGTACATATCAGACAAATCTCAATTAATGCATATTCTACAAAATACATAATCAGTACTCCTCAAAATTTTCAAGACCATCAAAAACAAAGTCTGAGAAACTGTCCCAGCCACACGGATTAGTGTACACTTCTCCCCTTGCTTGTCTGTAAACCTCCTACTCCAACAGTGAGAAACCTGCTTCCCACCACCAACTATCAAATTGCTTAGCTGTTCAATTTTAGCATACATGTATAGTGGTTTAAATTTGTTAACCTGTACCCCCAAGGGAAGCAGCTTTATCAACTAGATTACAGTGTTTATTACATCCCTTTCTCCTTTAGGTTTACAATCTCCACTCGTTTCCAAATGTACATAGGTAAGCACCTTTCCCCCATCCCCTTCAGGAAAGATGCTTCATACATTTGTAGTACAGTTAAATTGCCTTTTTTTTTTTTTTCCATTTGTATTAGATTCTGGGATCCTTCAGCATCCTAAATGATTTTCTATTGCATTATAATTTAATTTTTAATCTCTAATTTTTTAAATTGTCTTTCTTCTTCCTGTTTTGAGTTTAGTTTACTCTTCTTTTTCTAGTTTGCTATGGTGAAAGTTTAGGTTGTTATTGATTCTTTAGATCTTTCTTCTTTTCTAATATGTGCATTTCATGTTATAGCTTTTCCTCTAAGTGTGCACAGCATTCACTGTATCACACAAATTTTGATAAGTAGTATGCTCGCATTTCGTTGATATTTCTCTTGATAATTTTTCTTGGACTTCGTGTTACTTAGAAGTGTGTGGTTTAATACTCAAATATTTGGGATTTTCCACATATCTTTCTGTTAATAAATTCTAGTTTAATTCCATTATGGTTAGAAAATATACTTTATATGATTTCTATTGCTTTAAATTTGTTAAGGTATGTTTTATGGTCCAGAATGTGATCTATTTTGAGGAATGCTTCATGTGGGCTTGAGAAGAATGTGTATTCTGCTCTTGTTGAGTGAAGCAATCTATAACTGTAAAATAAATCAATTTGGTTAATAATGCTGTTCAGGTCATTCATATTCTTATTGATATTCTGCCTGTTTGAACTGTCAAACGGGTTTTTTAATTTTCAATCTATAATAGTGGATGAGAGTTGTCTGTTCCTCATCTCAGTTCTTGCCTTCTGTTATTTGACATTCTGTTGTTAGGTGCCTATGCATTCAGGATTGTTGTCTTCTCAGAGAACTGACCCCTTCATGATTCTGTCATCTCCCTCTTTATTCCTGATAATCCTCCTTGCTCCAAAGTCTGATTTGTCTAAAAGTGATATAGTTACTCCAGCTTTCTTTTTTTCCCAGCTTTCTTTTGATTAATGTAGCATAGTGCATCTTTATCCCTTTTTTTTTTTTTTTTTTTTTTTTGGTATGCGGGCCTCTCACTGTTGTGGCCTCTCCTGTTGCAGAGCACAGGCTCCGGACGCGCAGGCCCAGTGGTCATGGCTCACAGGCCCAGCCACTCCACGGCATGTGCATCTTCCCGGACTGGGGCACGAACCCGTGTCCCCTGCATCGGCAGGTGGACTCTCAACCACTGCGCCACCAGGGAAGCCCTATCCCTTTATTTTTAACCTACTTGGGTTTCTTTAAATTTAAAGTGTGCTCCTTGTAGAAATCATACTGTTGGGTCTTTTTTTTCTTTCCACTCTAACAATGGCTATCTTTTAATTGGTGTATTGAGTCCATTCATTCATACTTAAAATGATAATAGATGTAGTTGAATTAATCTCTACTATGTTTGCAACTGTTTTCAATTCACTGACTTTTGTCTTTGTTCCTCTTTCACTCTACTTCTGCTTTCTGACTTTAATATTTTATATTATTACATTTTATCTATTTCCATATATTAATTATACATTTTTAAAGTTTTGTAGTTGCCCTAGAAGTTATATTTTAAACTAATCTGAATCCACATTCAAATAACACTATAGCACTTCACATGTAATATAGTTCTCTTCCCACAGAGTATTTCCAATTCCTCTCTCCTGCCCCTTGTGCTATACCTGTCATTCATTTCAATTTTCCATATGCTATTATCGCCCAATATGTTGTTATTATTAATGTTTGAAAGTTATTTTTAGATCAATTAAAAATAAGAATGAAATTTTAATAAATGATTTTATTTTACCTTCATTTATTCTTTCTCTGATGTTCTTTCTTTATGTAGATACAGGTTTCTGCTTATATCCTTTTCCTTCTTCCTGAAGAAAGTCTTTTAACATTTCTTTCTGAGTATAATTCTAGGTTGGCAAGTTTTTTTCTTTCAACACTTTAGATGTTTTATACCACTCTCTTTCTGCTTTCACGGTTTCTGATAACAAGTTCACTGTAATTTTTATGCTGCTCTTCTATAGACAAGATTATTTTTCTCCTCTGGCTTCCTTCAATATTTTCTCTTTGTCTTTGGTTTTCTGAACTTTGAACATGATATGCCTAAGTGTGTTTGGGTGCTTTTAGTGATTATCTTAGTTTTCTCTCAGCTCTTGAGTCTGTAGTTTGGCGTTTTAAGTTCTCAGCCATAATAACATGAAGTATTTCTTCTGCTCCATTTTCTCCTCTCCTTCTGTATTGTAGTTATACATGCTACACATTTCAGTGTTGCCCCCAGGTGTTTTTCTTTTCTCTCATTGTATTTCAGTTTCAGAAGTTTATACTGACCTGTGTCCTTGACCATTTTTCTTTCCTCGGCCACGTCAAGTCTATTGGTATGCCCATCAAAGGTACTCTTTGCTTGTTAATATGTTTTTGTTTTTTTTTTTCCTAGCACTTTCTTTTGATTTTTAGTTTCCACCCCTCTGCTTACATTTCTCATCTATTCTTACATGTTGTCTATTTCCCATTAAAGCCTTTAAGATATTAATCACAGTTATTTTAAATTCCCAGTCTGATAATTCCAACATCTGTGTCATACACAAATCTGGTCTTGATGACTGCATTGTCATTTCGAAGTGTTTTTTCCTGACTTTTGCCATGCTTTGTAATTTAAAAAAATTCAAATATGTTGTTTTTGGCAATAGCAACTGAGGTAAATAATCCTTTAGTATGAAGATATATGTTAATCTGCCAAAGAGTTGGGTGATGTAGTTCGTAACTGTAATAATATTGTAAATTGCATTTTATTTCAATTTCCAATTGTTTACTATAAGTATATAGAAATTTGAGTTGTGTGTATTGAAACTGTACCCTACAAAGCTATTAAATCCACTTATGAGTTTGATTAGTTGCTTTGCAGATTCCTTATAATTTTCTACAGACAATAATGCCACCTATGAATAGAAGTTTTACTTCATTTCTAATCTTTCTAACTTTTCTTTTTCTTTAGTGTTTTCAGTAGCTAGGAATTCCAGTACACTATTGTACAGAACGATGATGGTAAATAACCTTCTGCTGTTCCTTATCTTAAAAGTATTGCATATTTCACCATTAAGTATGTTTGCTAAAAGTTTTACATAGATACTCTTTATCAGACTGAAGAAATTCCCTTCTACACCTAGCCTGCTGAGGTGTTTTTAACATCAAAAATGGGTATTAAATTTTGTCGTTATTTTATCTACATAGTCAGAAATAATCATAAGATTTTTTTCCCCTTTATTTTGTTAATATGGCAAATTGTTACAGAAGAATGCCATCCTTAGGTAAATGCCAGTTAGTCATGGCTGCCTGTCTGGTCCACCACCACATTCACCCAACGCCATGCTTGCCACAGCCCATTACTGGATACAATGAGTACTAAGGCAGGATTAGTAAGACAGGGGATTGATCCAAAAGGCAACTTTGGCTCAAGAACTCCTCATTCACCTGGCCAAAACTTTCTTGAACTGTATTCTAATACTCTTCTTTCCTTCACTCTCTCTTTCCATGTGTTTTGGATTTTCATACCCTATTCTTGCACACACTTATTTTGCTTTTTTCCCCAATAAATCTCTTGCACATCTAATTCTATCTTGGAGCTTGCTTCTCCGAGACTGAAACTGATGCAGAGGTGTTAAAACCTCTAATAATTATAGCAAATTTGTCTTCCCCCCCACCTTTGCTTTGTTAGCCTTTGAAACTCTATTATTAGGCAAATTCATATTTATGTCATTCTGGAATTAAGAGATAGAATGTAATCTTTTGTATTTACCCACACATCTACTATTTCTTGTGTTCTTTATTCCTCCTTGTAGATCTGAGTTTTCATCTAGTGTGATTTCTGTCACAATCAAGGATAAATAAAATTAAAGAGGGCACATGCACAAAAAACAACAACAACAACAAAAAAAAAAAACCCTTTCTTAAGCATTTATCATAGGGCAGGTTTACTACTGATGAATTCCCTCAGTTTCTATTTAGCTGAAAATGCTTTTATTTTACCTTCATTATTAAGTATATTTTCTCTGGATATAGAATTCTACACTGACTATTTTTCCTTTTAGTATTTTAAACATGTTTTTCCATTATCTTTAAGTTTCACTGTTTCTGATAAAAAGTCAGCTATCTTTCATATCACCAGTCACTATACGACAGGTGTCATTTTTCTCTGGTTGCTTTCAGGATTTTCTCTTTTTATCTTCAGTTTTTAGCAGTTTGACTATGCTGTATTTTGAATTTTATTCTATTTAGGGTTTGCTGAATTTTTTGGATCTGTAAGATGTTTTCCTCCAAATTTAGAAATGTTTCAGTCATTATTTCTTCAAATATTTCTGCCCCATATTCATTATTCTATCTCCTTCCTCTTTTCCTCCCTCCCTACCTACCTCCTTCTGCTCTCTATTTCCCTATCTCCTTATCTCTACTCCAACTGTTCACATACTTGAGTATTTCCTACTGTCCCATATGTGATTGAGGCTCTGTTTATTACTTTCAATCTTTTTTTCTGAGTTCTTCAGATTGAACAATTTATTTGACCTATTTTAAAGTTTACTGAACCCTTCTGCTATTTCCAAAATGCTCATAAGCCCTTCATTAAAGTTTTTATTTCAGATACTGAACTTTTCAGTTTGAGAATTTTCATTTGAATCTTGTTTATAGTTTTCATTTATTGGCTGAGATTCCCCATTTGTTCATTAATTATAATTTCTTTTAAAGTCTTGAACATATTTTTAATAGCTTCACTGAAGTCATTGTTTGCCAATTTTACCACTTGTTTCATCTTGGGTTTGATTTATACAAACTGCTTTATCTCACTGCTAGTTACATTTCATTGTTTCTTCACGTGTCTAATAATTTTGTTAGTGTTCTGGACACAGTTGATATTATGTCTTAGAGTCTCTGCATTCTGTTATCTTCCTCTGAAGAGTATTTATTTTTGTTCTAGCAAGTAGTTAATTTGGTTGGACCCAAATTCAAAACATGCTTCCATTGTGTTAGGCAGCAGCCGAAATCTCTGCTTTAAGTGTTTCAGCCTTCAATCTATTCTTTCTTGCCAGCCTCCTTACAACCCCCTCATCCCATTTTCTCATGTGTAGTCCAGAATCAGGCAAGAATTTGAGTGGAGTTACTTGCAAATATCAGGGCTTCCCTTTATATGGCTCCTTTCTGGGATTTCCTTCTTACTTTTTACCTGCCCAGACAGCCCTAACACCATCCTCTGACTGCTCAAGCCATTAACAATACAGCTTATTGCTTAAGTTTAGCTTTTCCATGCCTCATAGGCTGGAGTGTTTTCTAAGACCAAAAGCTATATAAAATCAAATACACCCAATGCAGCATCCTATTTTCAAGAATTGACTTTCCTCTGGTTTTGGTCTTCAAATATTTGTTGTTATTACTGTAAGTTTTGCCCAGAGTTTATCATTGTTATCTGTGGAAAAGCTACTCTAATACAAGCTACATTGGTATTACCAGAAGCTGAACTCCCTCAATGCATTTGAAACTGACTGTGTGTGTTCAATTTAGCAGGCACCAGGCAAGACCAGAGTATATCCTGGAAGCCCAGTTTTATTAGCACTACAATAATATTGGTATGCATGCATGTGTGATATTTTTAAATGTATTCTGAGGCACACAGTGTAGCACATTGACCAAAAACGAAAACTTTCAAGACACTCACCCAAGATTAAAATCTAGGCCCTACCATTTACTCACTCTATGACTTTGGACTATTAAGGTTTTCTAAATCTTAGTTTCTTCATTTATACCATGAGGATAATAAACTACCTACCTATGGTATATTCATGGCTAATGTTCTATAGATATTCACTTCCAATTATTTGCAGCCAGTTTCCACTCTAGTTTATCAGTGTCTTTGCACTAACAATTACTTTTAAATTTACTTTTTCATAGTAATTGTTGAACCCCTCCTCTTTTGCCTTTCTTACACCTAGGAGAGGTAAGCAAAAGTTGATGGAGTGTTTCAGAAGTTTTGCTTCCTGATGAAAGCAACAAACATGATTGGGTTAGCCCTTCCATCTTATTCCTGTGTTAAATATAAGCATAATATTCAGAGCTTCTGCAGCCATTTTAAATCCATGAGGGAAAAAGCAAGAGAATCTCAGTGATACTATTCCTCCCACCACTGAGCTCTCAAATAATGTCAACAGCTACTTTTCACTAGACTTCTTGTTATATTAAGATAAATACTCCCCCCTTTGTTTAGGTCACTATTAATTAGATATCTAACTACTTGCAGCTGAATGCATTCCTTACTGATACACTACTACTTCATGGACTTGTTTTGAACATCAATTGTGATAGTTCATGTAAAATGTTTAGCTCACAGTGTATCCCATAGTGAGCAATCAATAAATGTAAACTATAATTTTTATTTACTTATTTATGATCTAACTTTCTTCCAGAATTATTTGAGATGGCTTATGGAAACACAATTCAACAGAGTCAGAAAGAAAAGCAGCTTAAAAAATAGAATTACTAAAGTTAAGACACAAAACATATTCCCAGAGATACATAAAACTGCTACAGGCAGTTCTCAAATTTGATTTGGGTTTCCTAGAAGGTAAAGTAAAAAGAAAGCAAATCCTGGTATTAAGAACCAGGAAAAAATTTTTTGCTAAAGGTCAAGTAACAGTAAAATGAAAGAGAGGAATTAGAACTTGTAGATACTGAATTTCCAAGATATAACCTAAGCTTCTGAGTTACTGCACACTGCATCATGTTAGGGGGCTTTAATAGGGTACCCAGATTTCACACAACATCATTATCCCACACCTAGTAGAAAAGGAAAAATTCACTATGATAAAAGTGAGTTTTCCCACAGGGAGAAAAATGTATCTGCTCCAAATTGATAAGTAGAAAAATCTTAAAAGTTGTCTACCATGATAATTTCTTGCAATGGTTGTTTCCTTTAAAATTTATATTCACATCCCGAGAAAAAAGTCAGCCTGGGCAGTTTCTGAAAGACTCTAACATACCCAACTGCTTTATTTTTAAAAACTATTTATAACTTTTAATACCCTTGCAGTAACCAAGAAAATCACAGTCATATAAGAGACAGAGAAATGTGCATCATAAATACCCAAAAATTGAGGCAATCTTAGTGAGAGACAGAGACAGAGAGAGAGAGAGAGAGAGATGACTCTCAATAGAAGCAGTAACATATTCCTATTGGTATATGCCCCACTTATTGTGAAGTATATATTATCTAACACAGAGTTGTCAGTCTGAAAACAGAAAATCTGCTTTAGGAAAACAGTAGCCTCTTTTCTTAAAAGTTCAAAACTCTCATGAGCAAGGGAGTATTTATAATTTTTGATACTTTCCAAAAGAAAATTTTAATATTTCTTTTAGAAATTTGGGTGCATTTCTATAAAAGAGGAAACCGACAGTAACACAATAAGAGTAGGGGATTTTAACACCTCACTCACACCAATGGACAAATCATCCAAACAGAAAATTAATAAGGAAACACAAGCTTTAAATGACACAAGAGACCAGATAGATTTCATTGATATTTATAGGAAATTCCTTCCTATAAAACAGCAGATTACACTTTCTTCTCAAGTGTACATGGAACATTCTCCAGGATAGATCACATCTTAGGTCACAAATCAAGCCTCAGTAAATTTAAGAAAATTGAAATCATATCAGGCATCTTTTCGGACCACAACGCTATGAGATTAGAAATCAATTACAGGGAAAAAAACATAAAAAAACACAAACACATGGAGGCTAAACAATATGTTACTAAATAACCAACAGATCACTGAAGAAATCAGAGGAAATTAAAAAAATACCTAGAGACAAATTACAACGAAAACATGACAATCCAAAATCTATAGGATGCAACGAAAGCAGTTCTAAGAGGGAAGTTTAGAGCAGTACAAGCCTACCTCAAGAAACAACAAACATCTCAAATAAACAATCTAACCTTACACCTAAAGGAACCAGAGAAAGAAGAACAAACAAAACCCAAAATTAGCAGAAGGAAAGAAATCATAAAGATCAGAGCAGAAATGAATGAAATAGAAACAAAGAAAACAATAGCAAAGATCAATAAAACTAAAAGGTGGTTCTTTGAGAAGATAAACAAAATTGATAAACCACTGACCAGACTCATCAAGAAAAAGAAGGAGAGGACTCAAATCAATAAAATTAGATATGAAAAAGGAGAACTTACAGTGGATACCGCAGAAATACAAAGCATCCTAAGAGACTACTACAAGCAACTTTATACCAATAAAATGGACAACCTAGAAGAAATGGACAAATTCTTAGAAAGGTATAACCTTCCAAGACTGAACCAGGGAGAAATAGAAAATATGAACAGACCAAACACAAGTAATGAAATTGAAACTGTGATTAAAAATCTTCCAACAAACAAAAGTCCAGGACCAGGTGGCTTCACAGGTGAATTCTATCAAACATTTAGAGAAGAGCTAACACCCATCCTTCTCAAACTCTTCCAAAACACTGAAGAGGAAAGAACACTCCCAAACTCATTCTATAAGGCCACCATCATCCTGATACCAAAACCAGACAAAGAACTCACAAAGAAAGAAAACTACAGGCCAATATCACTGATGAATATAGATGCAAAAATCCTCAACAAAATACTAGCAAACAGAATCCAACAGCACATTAAAAGGATCCTACACCATGATCAAGTGGGATTTATCCCAGTGATGCAAGGATTCTTCAATATATGCAAATCAATCAATGTGATACACCATATTAACAAATTGAAGGGTAAAAAACATATGATCATCTCAATAGATGCAGAAAAAGATTTTGACAAAATTCAACAATGATTTATGA